CTTCAGAAGTGGGGGATGGAGAAAAGTGTCTTAGAAAAGAAAATACCTTAAGTAGTTTGGGGTTTTATGGTTTTCATATTTAGAGGGAAATTAGGGTCTGTCTTTAAGACATGCATTTCCTTTTGCCATTTTAAAATAATTTCAAAATGTATTTGCCCATTTAAACAATGCAGACTGAACATGGGCATTAAGAGTACTGCAGTTTATCAATTCTAAGCAAGACAATTTTCTCTAGAATCGATCCTATACAGATTAGGCAAGATGACCAGATGAGGTAGAGCAAGCAGACTTAAAACAAACAAGCAAAAAAGCCCCCAATTTGTTCTAATGTGAATACCAGGATAATGGGTGACTAACAGGCTTTTATCATAGTGTGCCCTGCAGGACACATTTCAATGTGAAATACAGAGAGGACTTTTGTGCCTTCCATTAAAACCATTCCTGAAGCTAAATCCCTCCATCTCGCTGAAGAGTTATTCCACAATGATGTTCTGTATTAGACAGTCATGAGTCACAGATGAAAAAGGTGATAACCTTGCTTGCCTAAAGCTCTGTACATACCATTAATATCCAATCACTAAGGAGTGGAAAAGCTTTTAGTTGAGTGGGGTGAAATGCATTTCCTCTGGCCAAAAGGTGAAAAGTTGATAAAATTCTTTTCATCCAGGGAACCTCAAATCTCCTCACTGTTAAGATTTTAGAGACTCATCAGAAAATGCAATCATTTTTAATTTACTCGGTCCTTGATAGGTACTGTACTTCAAGCAGTTTAAAACATAAGCTCATGTTTACTTTTAAACAGCTTTCTTATTACATACATATAAAGAGATAATTAGGAAAGCTCACAATGAGTGTGTGTGTTACTATGATCTCTGGGCACAGTGAACATGAGCACGAGGTCGTGATTTCTATCTATAAAGGTATTATCCACACAGTGTCAACAGCATGTGTTTGGGATATGTAAAATGATTACAGCCATCTTGATCAAACTCCCGAAGACTGTTTTGATTAAAGGTCTGCTGCCTACCATATAATTCCAAATAATACTTTTGTTTTTTTTCTTTGATTCTTTTTGGAAGTTAAAGATACTAAAAATTGAGTTAGATGATTATAGTCATACCCTCACAGTGAATGTTGAACAAGTAGGAAAACACTGGATTTACAGGCTTTCCAGTATTTTTTTTCAGTCATATTTACTATGACGATAGTTAAGCTGTGGCAGGGAGATTATTCTGTATTTTGTCCTCGTTGAATTTGTTCAAGTTTCCTAATTTGGGGGGAGAAGAATTCTGTGTTTTAGAATTTTTGCGAGATTACCTGGATCATCTTTCTCAGATGACTGAAGTTTTTTAGAAACAAATACTTTGTCATCTCTGGTAACACAGACTATGAAACATTAAGTTAACTTCCAGCACTGCTACTAGTATCTGTGTATGTTAGAAACAGGCTCCAAAATATAAACCCCTAATATCTTGAAAATGCTTAGTTCATACTCACTGTATCTTGTTTTTATATTTCCCTTCCACACCTCATGTAAAATCAATCTGACAGATGCTAACACAGATCTGAGACTCATTAGAAAGTCATTAATTATCCTAAAGGGATGTTTATGGATAGGAGCACTGTATATTTTGGGCTGTCAAGACAAATTGACCCAATAGCTTCTCTGTAACCACCCTGCAACTATGGCAGGCTAATGTCAAAACAGTGCATGGTACTCCTCTAAATCTAACGTAAAATCTAATGTAAGAAGGTGGTTAGTGGAAGTGTCTATGGTGATAATCAAATTGAGCCTCAAATGAAATTTCTGATTTAGATATCAAAGCAATTAAATTATTAACATCCCAAGGTATTTTTTCATAATTGATTTCCCCATTAAAGTTTTTATATAAACAGTATTTTGTATTGGACTTCCAACTGGATAGTTGAGAGCGGGCAGCCCTGAACAGTTAGCTCTCCCTCAGCCATAGGAATGGGTATGCTTAACTCTTTGTTTCATCAGCCTTCCCCTAAAATTCCTTTTCCACTCATTTCATGGTTTAAAGCCCAACTGTAAGATCTAATGAAAACATTCTAGACTGATTATAATCACCCCCTTGGCCAAATATCGTTTCAGAAAGTATGGTTTTAGCAAAACTGGTATGTTCAAGAATACTCAGCTCTGCAGCACCCAGCATGCAGTGACCTAATGCTGGTGCCTCTTGCAGGCTGTGTTACAACAATGTGGTTAACTGAAGCTAATGGCTCGGTGTCTGCTTGTGGCAGTAGGACACGATTAGCTTTCACTCGCTGAATTCTTCCACTTCAAATATATGTTCAGAGGTATTTGCCAATGCAGTTGCTTTCCTTGTTGCTGTTCATTTCTGTTCTGTTTATGCTGCAGTTGCATTGTTATCTTTTGGGCATGCTAGTTTAGCTTTAAATTACATCTTGCACTGCATAAAGTATAAGGAGGAATTGCATTACTTTAACCAGTGCTATATTTCAGTAAACCTACTCTTCAAAACATTATCATATGTAACAAGATTGATCCCAGTGAGTTAATATTTTAAATGCACAAGGTCAAGCATGTCTTGTTTATGCTTTAAGGCCATGTATGACAGACAGTTTTTTCTGCTGTTAGCACCCATCAGTCCAAATAATCTCCATGCTCTACTAATTGGAAAAAATACAGTTTAGTGTTATGCCATGGAGGAGAGTGTAAAGATAGCTATACAGAAATTTTTCAGGCTCTTACATAATACAGTGTATTCATACAATGCTGCTCAACCAGTTCTTTTCTGAACAGAAAGTTACAATGGACTATATAATGTATTAATAGTAAGTTTAAATGTCTCTCTACGTAGCTTTGCTTTCAGCCATCTGCTAAGCTCTACTTTTTCCTGAAGTTTTCTCCAAGTTGTGTTGCTAAGATATAAAGCTTAATAAGATTTTGATGATTTGCCAAAGCTACTTTTTCTAAAATAAATATTTAACTGTGGTAGCAGTGAGAAAGAAGCAAAACCATTAACAATAATCTTTACTTTTGATCTGTGATGCAGAACTGCAATCGTTGGGATGAGCAGTGTTTCCTTGTGTATGCAGAGTCAGATCATGGGCCCCTCAGGGATGCAGTCCACTCATCCCAGAAGGGACTCTTGAGGAGGCAGTGGTTGGACACCTTTATGTCTCTCTGATCCTAGGACTGACATCTCAGAATAGTTTCTTAGAACAATGTAGGACACAAGATAGTTAACCTGTGCCAGGCTTACTACAGAAGTAGCTTGAGAGGGGATTTTTTTGTTTGTTTTTGTTTTTTAACAGGAAAGCACAGATCATCTAGTGCTATCCTGTATCACTCATGTCTCTCCTTCCAAACAGGTAACTCTACAGGGGTGGAAAATCCTTCTTTGGGCTTGTTTCAAATGGGAAATGGAAGCAACCTTTGGTATAATCTTAGGAGACCTGTCTGCTAAAGAAATATGCTCTCAGAGATTATTCACAGGAGTCTGAGCTTGTTCTCAGAAATCTGGCCAACTGCTCACTCAAGCTGTTGCTTGGGTGTCAGCTGGCTGGTTTTTATTAGTAAAGACTCGTGGGTGTGGGTCCAAAAACCAGTCTAAATTTTTAAGTGGATTTATATGAAGTTCTACAAATTTAGATGCCAGGCTGAGAATAATTTTTCACATGTGAGCTCTCTGCTAAAATATTTACACCATCTCTAAAAGCCCATTTATTATATAGTATGACTTTGTAATCCATAAAGGGTTGCTTGTAGAACATGCATAGAATAAAAAAGCAAAGATTTATATTTTGTATGTTCGTACTACTGACATGCTCTATATTGTGTATGTATACAAGCAGTCAGAAAAGGGCTGGTCTGATACTGGTTTAACTCAAACCAGAGTCTGCTTAAAAGGATGAAAAGGGAAAAAAAAAAAAAAAAAAAAGAGGGCATGGCTGTTCAACCATTATTTGCTGTTTGTAAGATACAGCACTACAGAAAGCCTGAAGTGATGTTCTGTTTAAAACAATTTCTGTTGGTTCATTGGAGGGAGTAACTGAATTCCTTCATTTGTTAACCTCAAGGTGCGTGAGGCACAAAGAGGAGATAGAGATGGCCTGAAGTGCAACTCTTGTCACTTGTAATGGCTGTTCTTGTATCCTGTGAATGCAGGCACACAAATGTGGAAGGAGCTGCCATATAATTTCTGGAATAACTCTTTGGAAAGAGCCTCTTTAGTGATGTTACCTCCCCAGGCACTTTGAAGGATGCTGATACCTCTCCTGATATTTGGAGGATGCTCTTCTCCAAAGTTGCTTATACAATCCAGGCAACTATGGCTCTCCAGATCAGGTTTGGGTTAAACAGCTAAAATGGTAGTTGTCCTCCTTCACAGATGTAAGATGAACAATCCCAAACAATTTTCTCCCTATCCTAAATTAAGAGGTTAAGTACAATTACTACTGTGTCAGAAAGATATGTTTTCTTCAGTTCTGCTATCTGATAGAATACCAGGGTTAAGAAAGCTGATAAGTGAGCCTTGCTGAAAAATATGGAAAGGTTTAAAGGTTTCTTGTGCTTCTTCCTTCCACCCATTCACTTTGTTTTTTTTCTGTTTACTCTGATCTGAACAGTCTCAAGGGCATTAATAAATGTAACCTGAAAATTCTTGAAAAAAGTGTATATTTTTCTCCTGGAAGTGAAACTTTGACTTGTAAAATCACTTATGTCAAAGAAAGATGTTCATAAGTAATCTTACACCTGTGTTTCATTATATGCCATCAATATAACAAATTTTAATGTGAATATTAGTAAATAAGAATTGGCTGTATGCATGTGTTTCTTTAACAAAGAGATATTGCGCTAAGGAAAACCTGGAGTTAAACTAAACAAAGTCTGTCTGCATTTAGAGTTTGTGTGACCTGCTTTTTTGTTGTGGGTACAGGTCTAGCAGTTTTCTTTAACAGGCTTTGCAAGCGCAAGACTATAACACTCAGAATCTTACAAAAGAGCTTACCGTGGTGGTGAATCAGGATACATGACGTTGACCTGAGAAAGTGTATCCAGATAGGAACCAAAATCAAAAGCTGGGGGAAACTCCTCCATGCAGGTGGATCTCAGCTCTCCAAAAGAGCCACCATAAGAGAAGCCATCTGGAGCTGGAAAACAAGCAATTAATACTTGCTGTTCTTTTCCTCCATGGTAGATTCTCTGAGACAATATCACTGTTTATAGCACTGCCATAAATCAGAAAATAAAACCTGAGACAGAGGAATTACTGATATTCTGGAACAATCGGGTTTCACAGGACATTCTGTTCCTTTAAGAGCAAGTTAGCATCATCTCTAGATGAACCGTGGCGTTTCAGGCTATGGCACAGGGACTGTATATTTAATGATGCCCTACAGGATGCAAGTGTCTACAGATTCTCTTGTGGCACAAAGGTTGAAAAGGAGTGTTGGTTCTGCTGCATGCAGCTTCAAACATTAGCAGGATTGCTGAAGTTCCCAGGACTTGCATACATTGAAATCCTGCCAATTCTGTTAAGGTTTTTAAAAGGAGGCTTAGGTGTTTGATTGTAGGTATGTGTCTTGAGAAAATGCAGTTCTCAATAAATACACACACAAAAAGGGGAAAAACTGGAAAATAGAGAATATCATCCTGCTGCCTGCTCCAGGGCTTTCTTAATGCCTTCATGCAAGAGCTTCATAGCTCCAGAAATACCAAGAAGTTAGTGCTGTTTTCTGTCTTTTAGGATAGTCAGCTAATGCTCAACATTCTGGGGTAGATTTCCCTAAGAATGTCCTGAATTGTGGAAATGCAACAATCTCCACTCCCCTGCAGTTGTCTTTCAAATAAAGTGATCCCCCCTTTTCACTTGATGCATTAAAATAATACCTGGAGAGAAGGCCCAGCTTCTAAAGTGAGACTGAAGTAGGGTCCCTCTCAATAGAGGGTGAAGGGCAGGACTCACTTGAGTTGCCTGTTCCTCCTGGCAATTTTCACCTCTGCCAGTGTCTTTGTGAGGATTTTACCGGGACTAATCCAGTCCATCATGCACTGTGCTTTCCTTTTGCTTAGTAAGTGAAGGAAGCCAACTTCACGGTGACTCCCGCTGCTCCCACGCTGCCCAGTGGAAGCATGCTGAGATACTAGGATGACATGTGCTAATGTAAAATTTTCACTTGAGTAGACTGGCACAGTTTAGTTTAAGATTATTCTTTTGAATTTCTCTGAAAATATCACCATGCGTTTAGTTGTGGGTTGGGGTTTTTTTTCCCCATTTTTTTCTAGCATTATTATTTCTAACAAGCAGCTTGACAATTGCCCTTTATGTTTTCACCTGGCTTCAGGGATTTTAAAGGAGCTGAAATTAACATAGCAGTAGGTTTAAATGTAGTGATTGTATCTTAATGGTCAGTATTTTATCATGCCAAAATATTTCCATTCCTGGGTAAAACAGTGACTCCAAGTTGGGTTTAACCATTTAATCCTAACTTTAGCTGCTTGAAAAGTAGAAAAAAATAGATGTTACAATAATAGGAGACAGTAGTTTTCTGGATTTCTTTTTTTTTTTTCCTTTTTCCCTCTGTACGTTACCATGGGAGTTTGCATTTCACTTCTTTTTAGAGTCTAAAATTTATTCCCAAAACACAGACATTATTCACTTATCTGGATAAACGTTTCTGGAAAAGCCCAAAAGAATTGTTCCTGGCTTCAGGTGGACAAACTATCCTAGAAAATGTGTTTCTTTCAGACAATGAAAATTCCTGGTCCAAAATCAAATCAAGTCCAATTGACTTCATTGGATACTTCATGTACCTCAGTGAAATCAAGATTTGAGCCAATGCATTTTTATATAGCTCCTATTATTATCTTTTCTATATAAAGAAGAAACCTCAGCAATATGCAAAGAACTGTATTCTCATAAGAAACTGCAGATACAGGAGCCTAACCACAGATGACATGGTTGTTGATGCTCTGCTCAATTCATTAATCTGTTTATCATTGAAAGTTTTACTAACTGAAGACTTACAAAATAACTTTCTGTAACTTTTTTCCTTAAATACAGGAATAATCAGATTCTGTCATTTTCTTGACAAAGTAGCTTTTACTCTTCCGGTCAGGAAACCCAAATCTGGCCAAAAATATAATTCCCAAATCCTTTTAAAGTATGATGGGGTTTGTTGGAGGGTACGGGGATAGGAATTGGCATTTTTTGGATAGCAAACCAGTCTCTTTAATGATGATGACAGTTATAATGATATTTTGATGCCCTCTTGTTCTGTTTATATCCAGTTATTAACTTTTGTGATCAGAAAAGAAGTAAATGCCCAATCATGGTTGTAGGTTGGTGCACACTACAGAAGTGAAAACATTCCTGGCTTTCCAACAAATAGAAATTACTTTATATGCTACACCAAGGCTGTAATGGGATATGAAAATAAGCTATCAGGAGTCTAGCGATGGAGAAGAAATCTTAGACCGTATCAAGGGAAAATAAGCTGTTTAAGAAATGCTGTCAGCTTTGGCCTTGTTTATGTTAACCATTAACTATGGGGCTCATAATATGTGAATTCAGCACCAGTACAAAGATGTTATTAAATTGCAAAGCTGCCTGTGACCTACTTATCCTATTTTTTAATTTTTATTTTTTTATCCCTTGCACAGCAGCCAGATGCTTTATGTTGCCCATAGCACCAGATTATTAATAAAGTTAAGCAGTATCTTGCTGTGACTAGCTATCTTACCGTAAACAGCATCTCTCCTCAGATGTGGGTGTCTTAACCGTCCGTCCTTTCGCAGACTGCCAACAATGATTGTAACACAGGATAGAAATAGCACAAGTCCAATCACTACTCCAGCCACCAGAAGGGGTGAAACAAGTAAACTGGTATCATTTCCATTTTCACTGTAGCTGGGGAATTCACTGGTTGGACTGCTCTGGTTCAAATGAACTTCTGTATGGCACAGAGAAAAAGAACATGTCAGCTGTGAAAAAAGACATTCACAAAGTGTGGTTATACAGATGCCAAAATGAAGGGCTTTCAAAGCCCTAAGAGACAGCCTGAGACAGATCTGTTTTATGAATTCATGCTCGTATGGACAACCTATTTATTAGACTAATTTCTGGAGCTGCTAGTAGCTGACTCTGGGGGAGTCACTCGGCAGTCGTTTCCCTGTTATTGGGGAGTATCCTGCTGGAGTCAGTGATGTGTGTTGTGTAATTTTGATTGCTTATTCCTGGAAAGATTATTTGTATCACGAATTGATTGATGCTGAAAGAACTTCAGTGCACAATGAGGAATGTGAAAACTCAAAAATCTGGACTCTAAGCAGAACAGAGGAATTGTGTGTTGTTACTAGGTGTGAAAAGACTCCAAGGTTTTGCAGAGAATGTTTTGGGCAAGAGTGAAACAGAGGAGAATGCTTCTGTAGCACAGGGCATGCTCTAGTTTGTGGGGTGAGTCAGCATCCCAGCAAACTGTTTTGGAGCAGAGGAGGGAAGAGATATTCAGAGTAAGATTCTTAGTGAGGCACTGGATTTTCATCCAAGACATGGCTTTTTATTAGGCAGAAGCTTGGGCAATGTGGCAGTCCTCTTGGCCTTAACGTCTAATAAATTGTTGAAATAGAAAACCATCACAATGAGCACTTAAAATTTGCTAATTAAAAACCTGAAAGTAAATAAACTTAATTTATTGCTCTTTGGGCTCCTCCGTGTGTTTAAACAGTAACCTAAGGATGGTGCCAGGCTTTCCTAGTGTTCAAACAGGCTATATATTGGGTGGAGAGCTTAGGTTTGGTGTGGTCATTGTCATTTCATCCTCCCTAGTTTGGCCTGATACTGTGTAAGGAAGGAGCTGTGTGGGCAGGCAGACCTCACCTTAAAACAGTGTGGAAGTATTGTATTGCAGGAGGTACACCCTGCGCTTCACCAGGTGACCGCAGACGAAGCTGAGCTCTGACTTGTGTGCCTTTGTTCCAGCCAAGCAGTTCTACACTGGAACATTACTACTCTTCCTTCCACCCCATTTTGATTTTTTGATTGACATCCACTCATGTTGTATGTGGCAAAAACTGTAACTGCTTTCCTCTGTTAGAATAAAATCTCTAGGTGTACTATTTAAGTTCAATAATAAATCAGCTTAAGGGAGAAAAATGGAAAATGCAAGAATATCCCAAACTATGAAAAGTCAGAGTAACTCTAGTAATTTATTCCCAAGTCAAATATCCTTTTGAGACAAGCTAACAAGAGTATCAAAAGTTACAGGGAGTTTCCTCTAGAGAATCCACTGGTGACATATGATTATACATGTGAATTAATTCCCATAGATGTATTTATGGGGGACTGTACTGCTAAGGGAGGGGAGCTAAATGTTAGAAATGATGGGGAAAAGGATTCAGGATTTCAGCAGATAGAATTTCTGCTGAAGTAGAAGGCTCTGTATGTTTATTTGTGGACAAAAGTTTGGGCATACAGTAAAGGTAACCAAATTTGGGCCTAGGTCTTGGAAACAAGTTGCAGTAAGCACCCATTTTCCTATCCTTAATCTACAGTTTATTAAAAAAACCCCACAACCAAACACACTCCCCCAAATTAAAAATAAATATCCCATTAGCTGCTGAGGATCAGACTATGTACCGAGTAAACCAGAATTTTATTGATGCAAGAAATTATTGGAGATGCATATATACCAAGATTAGCTTTCAAATACGGCATGGATATATTTTAATATCTGGTTATGTGCCAGTTGAACAGATAAATTATTTGTTTCCTATGGAAACTTAAGGCTAACAAAATTTTGCTCTTTTAAATGTTCTGTAAAGCGAACATGTGCTTTTGGAAGCGCAAGGACTTTTTACATGGATACACGTTAGCAGATAGTTTTCAGCTGTGTCTTCCCCACTCTTTTCTGTTGGGATATACCACTTTGTGCCTTGCAGTCACAATAAGCTTAAAAAGAAGAGGATGGCTTCAAGCCAATGTATATTATCATTGGCTAACGCTTGACATTGAAAGAACTGACTAGAAATATAAAAAACCCTGGGGAATTAGCATGTAGTAGGGTTTTTGTTAATTTTTTAGAAGCACTTGACTGTTGGCTGAGAATCTTTATGAGCAATTAAGACAGACAGCCAAGAAATGTGCTGAGCTTTTACAAAGCATTTTATGCCAAAAGAGAAAACTGAATTTTCTGAAAATTAAACTGATTCTGCAGCATTAAATCAAAAAGGCTATGGAAAAGTGTCCTACTTAATACTCTTAGTGCAAAGAGTTTTGTGTATGGGGTATTTCTGAGGGGTAGATCTTGCTCATTTTATGGCCCTTGCACTAGAACCAAACTTCCTCAAAGTTTACAAAATTCTAATTGTGTTTCTCATTTGTACAGTTTTTTAAAACTATCTCTGTTGGTAGTATGTCCAACAAATGTGTACTCCCACTTGCTTTCCAGAGCCTTGTTTATTCAGATTTTTGCAAATTCTGACTTTGAAAGATGGAACTATCACAGCAGTGTCAATTAGTTTAAAACACAGTTGCAGGGATTTGACACCTGAATTGAAAGTACTGGTGGGTAATTTATTGGTAATTTTGGCTGACTTGCAAAGAGATAAGAGGAAAGAATCAACTTTGTCCTTGTGATGAGAACATGAACCTGGGGTGTGAGGTTGCTCGATGCACTATTAGGCTTGTGGTCTTCAAACTGAAGTCAGGTACTACTGAAATGAGTTGGTGATAAACTTCCTGTCAAGTTCAGTGGGAAAGAAAAGAGGCTGCAGTGAGTGCTTTCTGATCTTGTGAAACTTGGACAACTTCTAAATGATCATTTTAACAGGAAGGATCTGTCTAAAGAAGAGAAGAGTAGACTAGTTTTCTTTTTTTTTTTTTTTAATTATTTTGGAGATTCCTGTGATGCCACTCAGTGTGAACACTAATATCTGGTCCTATTTTGCTTTATAGGAATTTAACAGGTTAGCAGTGACTTCAAACAGCAAGTACTCTCTCTTATACTCCCCACTTGTACTTGAGGTGTTATTTTTTATTTCAAGACTGTCCATTTATCTAGCATGTTCCCAGGGCTTGCTTAGCTGTTCCAAGCCTTGCCTATTTTATCTCTTGTTTCTCATCATCATGAATCTTTCTCTTTTTTTATGCTCTTAATCTAATTAAACCCAGTCTCTGGTAAAGACATGATATATTGCAATATTGCTCTTATTAGAAGGAATGAATAACTCCCTTTAGCCTAGCTTCTAAAACAATACGCAATTGATAAATTTCTCTTATGGTATTATTTTCAGTTTGACACTGTGAGTCTAGTCCTCCAGACTTTCCAGACTGACTTACTATTGTGGGAATTGCTCAGGTGACTAAAAACTACAGAATGAGATGCTATGTTGATATAAATTCTTTGGGTTTGAATTTTTGGGGGGCAAAAGATACTTACATTACTTTTGGCAAAGCAATGTCTTACAAATTTTTCTCCTCTTATCCAAATACATCTCCTTTTGAGAAGCTGTATATGTCTATATATAAATGTGGTATGTTTTTCACTCAGAAGTATCTGTAAATCTATATAATATATAAATTTAACATAACAAATATAACAGCAATAGCAGAGTGCTAACTTCTTTTTTGAGGCAAGTTGTATTTTTTCCATGAAACTATGAATTGTAAACAATATGTGCATAAATATTAATACTTTATATCTAATCATCTAAATATGAATTATATTGGATGCACAAACCGTTGCTTTTATCCAGCGATGAGAGATGTGTAAGTAACCACACACAGCACAAACGGAACATGCTGGCTGTTGCAGCCGTGAATACAATTCAAGGGGCACATGTGGCTGAGTGAACACTTAATTTAGGATGAGAGTACTAGTGGAAAATTGCCTATGCTATCCATTCAGTGTTAGACAGTAAATTATCAACCTGCAAAATCCCTTAAATATCACATTATATTATTTTACCCAGTGGTCCTTCATCACAACAGACAAACTTGTAAAGTAACTCCATGTAACTGAAGAAGGTGTAGTATGACTTGACTGTTTTGGTGTATCTCGTGCTTTCTCTTCATTGACTTGTCTTTGAAGGGACACTTCTTATCCCTTTCTGACTTGGCAGTAAGTAATGTTGAAGTTTCAGTTGGGTCAGATCCTGTCAGTGAAATGTCTTGGTGTGCAGATCTGCCATGGGAACTTGGTTCATCCAAGATATAGCCCTTTATTAGAAGTGGCTTCTCTCCACTGGCTTTTACCTGCTTGTATCCCAGATGAGACAGAAGGGAAGCACTACATATAAATGAAAATCACTTCTCTCCATACTGAAGTAATTATGGGGTGTTTGTTTTTCTGAAGGCACATCAGCTCTAGTGAAGCCACACTGGTCTCCGTTATTGATAGGGTTTTCTTTGTTCCCTTTAAAGATCAGAGATAATTTAAAGTTGGATCTTATTAAGATAACCAAAGCTCTTCCCCTAGTTTAAAATCTATTATCTTAATAAAGATGATAGATGATTCATGTTATCACTGGTGAAGAGGATGAGACATGGAGTGGTTTTGTTTCCCAACAATGAAATGCATGTGAACAGCTCATGAAGAAGTGCTGATGTGTTGTACTGGAAGGATTTTGTGTGCAGAATCATACACCTCTACATCCCTGCCAGCCTCAGTTAAGCCTTGCCTGAGGACAGAATGGTCTTAGTGATTACTTGCTGAACTGGAGCCGAAGCACACTGACAGAACAGTGATGTATACATGTACTCCCCAGGTCTGTACAAGTTGGTTTGGGTTGATGATCTATCACCTCCTATTACCTTTAAATATGCTATATTAACTATGTGTACAGGACTGGAAATGAGTAGGAGGAAGCTCAGTATAGAATAGTGCATAGTAAGCTTTGATTTTTAAATAATCACAACAAAGCATCTCAAACAGTGAAGCAATTGAAAGCACGT